AATAAAATAAAGTAAATCTTAATAATAGGCACATGGCATATTCTAAATATATTGATTACTGAATTAATAAATATTTACAGTGATTAAAATACTGTATTCTCAAGCACTTCTCAATAGATTTGATAGTGAATTGATATAATTAAGAGCATTATTAATCACTTCTCTCATTAAATTTATAAAGAATCTAATTAGTCAATCTGATCAAACAGCCATTTAGATTCATTGTATTTATTGATAAATTGCTATAAAATAAACTATACCAGATGTTTCAAAAGTTCTAAAATACAGCATCTTTTTAAATGACTTTATATATAGAGATTATAATAATTATTTATACAAAATATATATATTTATATAAATGATCTCTATTTATAAAGTCACTTTAAAAAAAGAGATTATATTTTGGAACTTTGAAACACTCAGTGTAACAATATAAAGAATAATAAGGGTAGTCAAAATATAAAGTAGTAATAGAGATGAGGTAAGAAATATAAGCCTCATTCTTAGTTTAATCAACTCATTAATAATCTTTTCAAAGACATTATATTTTACTGATAAGCTTATGATTAATTGATAAACAAGTTCATTTTATATTTTCATTAGGATTAGAATAAGAATTAAAGTTAGTGCAGCTTATAAAAAACATAACTATAAAATAAATTTTCAGTAAATATACTGTCTATGAAATGTGTTTACCTGTCAATTAATTGTCTGTAAAATAAGATTATCACTAAAATATAGCATCTTTAAAGTGATTGTTGGTAAAATAATATAAACTCTTAAATAATTACAAAATTATTATGCTTCTATATTTTGTTTATCGAAATAATAGCTCCTTGATTAGTTATTTGACCTTTGGCTAATTAAAATTTTTTTCAGTTTAAGTATTTAATCAAAATACTTACAGACCATAAAATTTTATAAATCTAAATAATTTACTCCAAACATTTTGATTAATAAATACTTATAAATAAAATTAACAATAACAAATAAATTAATAAGTAAAGTGAATCTCTATAAACATATCAGAATGCTTCTATAAATCTAAAAGGCTTATTTCAAATATTTTGATTAATAATTTGATAAGGTATTTAACTAAATTTGCAGAAATATATAACAGATCTTTCATTTTTAACTTCAGTAAGTAAACACTATAAAAAAATCATTTAAAGAGCTACAAATTATTTTTTCTAGATCTAAAAATATGTAAAATAAAGCTTTAACTTTAGTTCTTATTTACTTTTTATAGACAGTTGAAGAGATTAATTAAGATGATTAGATCTATAAGCTTTGTAATATTTATCTATATATTATTTAATAATAAGTGAATATACAGAATATTGTAAAATCTTGTAGTAAAGTTAAGTGAAAAAAAAAATACAAAGGGTGTAGCGACTTAGTGAAGTTGATAAGTTGTCACACCCCCAAGTGGCAGGACAAAAGTTCGAATCCCACTAGCAACAAAATTCGAATTTTATATGTATTATGACAGATTATGTATAATTTGATAGATTAGCATCTGTAATCTTAGTCATATCAGCTAGTACTGGGAGGATGCGGAATAGTAGTGTAATGCAAGAATTACACGAAACCCAAGTGATGTATCTGGGTAAATCCAGGAGATCAAGCACACAGAAGCCTGCTTGGCAAGTCCCGAATGGAGAGATAGCACAGATCTTTGACGGTACTACATAAAGGAAGATTATTAGCAATTAGACCCGATAACCAACTGAATGAAGACTGGGTGTTTGACAAGGCACTACACCAACCAGGCTACGTGTATATAGAGAAAAAGATTCATCAGAATATTAGATAATACAAGTTCTTTCAGGCTATTTGAATTAGAAGTTTGAGGACACTGTTGCTGTGTTAAAAAAGTTGGTGGTAGTCCATAAAGTAGGTGCTGGGATCTGGATAAACTTCATAAAGGCAAGAGTAGGTAATAGTAGCGGCTTTGGCTCACAAATACTTGTTCTCAGACTTGGCGTAAGTTACTGAAAGTCTAGATTAGCCGGATTGTGGGTATGAAAAGCTCTAGCAATGATGCCTCAAGGATAAATTAGTCCTAAAGCTATGTAAGCATCCAAAACTTCTTAACTGACAAATGTAGTGGAGATGTTCCAGTGACACAAGGGGGATGTATATATTACAGAGGGTTTAAATAGATAATCCTCTAGTTGAGTTATAGGTATAGCAGCTAATGTAGAATCTACAGTATAATACCATATGCAGACTACTTAAATAGGTACATGTGTAACAAGTTGTACTCTCTAATGTAATTGGGGTTCTGTTGTAAGCTCCTTGCCCAAAATATTTGAATAAAAATCCCAAAGCCAAAGAGGCTAGTTAATAAAAAAAAAAAAAAAAAAAAAAAAAAAATACAAGCACTAATAAAATTTACAGATTTTCTTGTCAATCATTCTAGAAACTGATTTTCTTAATCAAGTATATTTTCAAACTATATTTAGAGTTAGGGTCTGGTTTTATATAAAATAAATAGAGATTTTTATAAAGTTTTCAAAAATATTGCAAAAGGTATTATATAATAGATATTGCTATTTATTGCTAATGATAATATCGCTAGGAATACTATATCTCGAAAACCTACTAGCTAACACATATCGAAAATATTATAGTCAGAGATTATTCAAAATTTGTAGATCATTTCTAGAATAGTCTATAATCATGCTTCGAAACGTGATTGGCATTTGATAATCCTCTTATAGAAAAGATTCACGATATTTCATCGATCTAATATGTAACTAATACTAATAAAGATCAAAACTAACTATCGAAGTATATATTTTAAAGTACATATTTTTAGAATCTCAGAGGATTTCTGAGGTCTTACAAACTAGTTTTTTTATAAATCGAAGTTTAACTTACCTATTTTCATATATTGGCCAACCATGAATTCAAAATTGGAAGCCAAATATTTGCCTTGCTTTTTTACTTTTTTTGTTACAAAACACCCAAACAGCAACTTGATAAAATGTATAGAGAAATGTAAAGAAGGGAAGTGACGAAATGCATCTGCCAATACAGCAACAAAAAGAATTACAGAAATGGCTAAATATTTTCCTGAATTAACTTCGTATCTTGATTCTATGAAGTGTTATTCTATATATAAAGACAATATAATCGGGTTGTTGCTAAAAAATCTTTATTGATCAATTTAAGAAGGAAACTAATCTAATTCTTTTTTTTCAGGTGAACTCAAGAAAAAAAATTAAAGGTTTCTAATGACAGTATTGAGCAGCAAGTTTCTGAAAAAACTTTCGTCAATTTTGGCATTCAGGTTGATTTATTTAAAAAAACTTACGTTAATTTGGTGCACAGGTTGATTTAGTTGAAAAATCTTGCGCCGATTTTGAATCCCAAGTATCCTTTTCAGATCCAATATATGAAATTCTTCAAAAAAGAATTGATGAGTTAGAAAAAAATAATAAACAATTATTAAGTGAAAATAAGGCATTAAAAAAAAGGCTAAGTGAAAGATTTATTAACCAAGAAGATCGTATTCATTCTATAATAGAAATTGCCAAAAAAGAACAAAGTAATTTGTATGAAGATGTAATAAATTTAATAAAAAATCAAGAGCAGTTTGATTTAGATAGTCTTTTAGAGTATTCTCCTTCCAAATGGCTTGCTAAACAGAATCCAGTCATCGTAAAGTTTATAAAAACTCTTACATATAATGAAAGTGAACACCAACATGGAGAAGAAAAGCTTTTCAAATGTATAGTGGCAATTGATTCTATATACGGGTCAAGACATTTAAAATATGTATCAGCTATTAATTTGGCTACTTCTGCAATTAAGTATTTATTAGCTAGATCAAAAATGATCATTGACATTAATAACCGAATTATTAGCTCCAGTAGTTATACGAAGTTCAATAATTAGTTAGAAAGTTTAGCTAGAAAACAATTACAGCTTTCTGAAGGTTTTTTGTTTTTGGCCTTTGACAATAAACAGAAAGGTCAAAAAAATTACTTGAATCGCAGGCATAAGACAGTTATATTTCATATAGTTATAAGTTTTTTTTTTTTTTTTTTTTATATTGGCAGCCTTGCCGGTATCTTTATTAGATCAAAACATATATATAAACATATATTCAACTATCTAAGCTACAGATCTGACATTCCCCGACTACTCTATTGAGCACCCAGAGATGGTCTGCCTCACTGGATAAGGCATATGCCTGCACCGGAAGGCTGCACCAAGCTAGCCTGTGAAGCTATACCAGAATGGCTTCGTTTTATTTTTAATAAAATTTTTAATTGCTTCAA